AATGTGGATTTTCTCAGCCTGGTTTTCGTTTCATCCTTCATGATAGGCCGTGCCATTATCAAGGACATATCAAGACCTTTCGCCGACCTTTCGCCGCGCTTCCGCGCGTCTTTCGCGCGCCAAGAAATTGATCCCGGAACCCTGTGCTGCGAACTCGGCTTATAAAAACAAAACAAGGGTTTTAGAACAACCCACATATGAGAGCAAATGTCCGATCGGTTAAGGGTCCTTTGTAACTCTTTGGCCCATCTGCCAGTAGCTACATGTCTTGGATTTGTCAGCCTTAAATTCTGTGAGCTTTGCTGCTAGGGCTTTGAACCTCCACCCTCCGGGCCTTCCAAACGAGAGGCTGTGAACGGTGTGGGAGACATTCGTGAAAGCAGTGTTGAGAACATGGTCTTCGCCGTTCTTTGCATGAAAGTGTATCGTGCCGGGAACACGAGGGACGTCTATCTGTCCACCTCAGCGGATTGCCCGCGATGCTCCTGTTGCAAGATCTCACCGCTGCACACTTCTTGAGGGCAGGACTGACACGGCAACCCTCATTGAAAATGTCGTGCTTCGTGACGTGCGTGTGCAGATGGCGGCCCTTCACCACATCGGTGGCGATGCGCGTGAACGCATCCTCGGATGACAAACGTTGCACCTGATGGGGAGCCTATGCAAACTGAATAGTCTGCGTAACTGCGTAGTAGTCTGATTGAGTGCCATTTCCCTCCGTCCAGTGGCTGAGAGCCTATCCAGGTTTCAACCAAGGGTCGTAGCACTGCTGTACCATCTTGGGGTCCATCATCAATGGCATCCCGTCAAACATGTCCATCGCCAATAGGAGGGGGGCTGGCAAGCCGTGCGGTGGAAAGAGATTTGGGCTTGATGCACGAAATTTAACACGAAACCTCACAAAAGCGGCCAAGCACGCTGGGCACCCTTACTTCCAGGCCTGGAAATGCAAACTTCAAGTCGCGATGCGGTGCCTTTGCCCGCTCCTCAGCTGAAAACAGGCTACATGAGTCAACCCGCCAGCATTCATGGGTGCAACTGCCTCTCATAGAACACACGCAGGAGGAAAATGCAACGGCCCTGGCGTCAGGCAAGTCTCAGCCACGCTGCGTGGGTACAAACGCAGCAAAGGGAAGCGCGCCACCTTTTCCTGATTGGACTATGCATTTATGACTAGCTCATGAAAACCATGCTCACAAACAGAACAGAGGGTCCTCCTGGCAGAGCTCCGGAAAACCTTCTTGCCCGCAGTTTACTTGCAAAGCCCATGCATCCGCACGAGTGCCATCGGCATCGTTCATGGCAAGTCGTCCTCGAAAGCGCTTGACATCACATACATGACAAGGCAGCTTGGCCAAACCAAGTGCTCCCCAATGCCTGTCCTTCGTTCACATCCTTCGACCACCGCTGCCACGCTGGCAGCATCATCTTGCAAGTCCCTGCTTTTCGAATGCAGAAGAGCACGAAGACGAAGTCGTGCGCCTGCATTGCCAACAGAGAAGACATGCGGAGACAAAAAATGCCTTGAATTCCCGAATGCCGCCAGCATCCGCCAGCAGTCTGAGGTCACTGTTGACTCTACAAGATTTTGCAGCTCATGAGCTCATGCCTCCAAGGCATCATGAACATCCCCACGATCGCTTTCGCCTTGCACCAAAGCCAAAGGACTGACAATGATTCTGCCAGCAGAGGAGTTTGCGTCAAAACAACTGGCCTGCAGACAGCCAATCGGCATCAAGCTGCGCTTTCTCTTCTGCCGACAGCTTTGGGCGGTCTGCATATTCCTGAGCATGTCTGTTTGTGAAACGGTTTGCACTCTGCGTGCCTGAAGCTTGACATTTGCCAGTGGCCATGACAAAACATGGAAAATGTCGCCCCGCTAGTCAACACAAGGCTGACGGGTTTTCATGCGCGGCACCCCACAACATGATTACGTGCGAGATCACCTGCATTGCCCAGGTCGTACCAAGCAGCGAGCTCTGTGAGTTCCTCGTCACTGTATGCTTGGCCTGTATGGGCCCCTGCCAAGGAAAAGGTGCACTCAGAAAATTGGGTGAGGTGAGCGCACATCCAGTACCTTTGTGGTCGATGGGCTGCTTGTGGACATTCCGCGTAAGGTTGGAGCGGACATTCCCAAAAGCATCGAAAACCTTGGCCAGACCAGGCAAGTCACAAACACTGTTTGGCATGCCAGCTGGAAGGCTACTATCTCAAAGGCATTGTACACCTAGCCAAGCTGCTCCAACAGTTGCGTAGTTGCAGGACAGATCTGCGATCGAAAGATCGAAGCTTATTCTCAAGAGTTCGCTCTGGTCAGAATCGATCCTCGCTCTCCACGTGCAAGGAACACCAGCGCTGAAGTCTGAGTCCGAGACTTCCACAGACCCAAAGCTTGGGTTCAAGCTAGTTGAAACACGACCCAGCCCCACCAAACAAGGCGCTCCAATCGAGAGGAGCCATGATTATCCAGGAACGCATACCTTCCCAGGCAGATGTCCAAATGCTACCAAGAGCAAAAGACCTGCTGTCCAAGCCGAGGTGCAACTGCAAAGCCAGGAGGGTGGAGCAAAGAACCGCTGCGACCAATGTTGCCGAAACCCCCAGCCACCTCACCAAGGCAACGTGCGTGGAACCAGGGGGGAATTCACATGCTACGTTAGCTGGGAGAATGCTGTCTGGCTGCGTTTCTTCCTGCAAGATACCTTTGGCTGGACTGCGGAAGATGTCCAACGACCTTCCACGAGCGGAAGATTGGAAGGGCACGCCAATGCCAGAGCCCAAGGGTCCCTCTCCCACAGCTTCTTCATAAAACATCGCTTGAGTCTTTAAGTGCAGCTCCAGGGCTTGAAGCTCACGACACGTCTTCTCAGCCCATCCGGCGGCATCAGACGATCCAGCAGCACGCTGCGCTGTCATCGGGGCCAGGATGCTACCAAGACGGTATTAGGTGGTGGGTTTCACCCTGCAACATTAACGGAATGCTTCCTGCTGGCTCTGGTTATGGCTCACCGGCTGACGGTCCAAAGTGATGATGCCAAAATGTTGCTTGCCACTTGACCCAAGCTACACATAGCACCTTCACGTTGTGGCAACCCTGGTGTTGATTGCAACACCGGCAAGACCTTGATACTGAGGCGGGCTCATCCTGGGCAGTGAAGTGCTCCAGGCCAGCATGAAGGACAGTTGAGGAGATCGACCTGTTCATCTTGGCCACTGGCTCAGCTCAGACAAAGGCAGGGGGTTACCTTAAAGCCTTCCTAGAGCTCTACAGAAGGAGAAAACTGCGCACTGGCCTCATCAAGTCAGGCAGAAGCTGACTCATGGTGGCAAAACTTCCTGCCAGCGACATGAGCCTCAGAAGATCCGTCATGAGCTTTACCTCTACATGCGGCAACAGCGCCCAGCTGCGTTTGTTCGCATCATGACTTACGTATCGTCTTCATTACCCTCAATGCTGTTCAGGCAATGGCTCCTGTGAAGACAACCTGCCCAGGCGTCGCTGAACCTGCAACTGCAAGCCCTAACGCTGCCGACAAGCAGCCCAACAGCAACTAAAGGACATGTCTTGGCCTCAGCTGCCAGGCTCTCTGACACGCTTGTACCACGCTCTCCCATCCTGCGTACTGTAAGAAGGCTCTGCAGCATCCCTGGTTCATCGCTTCACTGAGAGCATGGCTGGGCCAAAGACCTCATCAAGCCGGATCTGCCGCAACTCCAGACTCCGAACGCCCTAGTCTTAGATGCACACCATGCGGTCGCCACCAGGTCAGCATCACGGAAGCTTCGCATGCATCTGCACGCAGCTCTTGAGAGCGCCTGTGGAATAGAGATCTGCAGAAGCCATTACAATCTCAACGTTCCACATATGCATGTGCTCATGGCTTTGAGCTGCAATATGAGGCCGAGCAGCCTCAAGAGCCACATCGTAGGCTGGCAGACGCGAGAGGCATTGCAGGGCATTCACCTTATGATGCAGTTTCAGCCGAGATCTGAGTGCCAGCATGGGATTGCAGGTCTGCTCCGCTCTCCTGCTTTTCAAAGTGTGAATTTTGTCTAACTGCATACTGCATGTGGTTCTGTCTCTGGGGAATGCCTTGGAGGATGTGCCTCACCTGGCACTGCAATTGTTTGGGCAAAAATTGTTCGAGCATGTTTCCTGTCCACGCCAAGAACTCACTGTTGTTGGGCATGCTTTGCCAACAAACCAAGATCAAGGATTCTGAGACTGAGCGAATGAGGCACCAAAACATAGCGTCAACAAAAAGATTGCCTCTCAAAACATCAAAAAACTATGGAGATATTCCGCTGTGAAACTAAGATACATGCAAAAAGAAATTACATCGCGATAAATAGCACCTTCATCTGCGTTTCTACAACTTCCTGTCCAATAAAAGGCAAATGATTACGTGCGTGTCGAAAGCATGCAAAGCCGCTGTCCATAGGATGTAAATGTCAGAAACCATTGACTATGACAGTCCAAAGTAGTTGTCTTGTGCGAATTTCTTTCGAGTCTTTCTTCACTCGATTTTCAATTGTGAAACCGATGGCTTTTCTGGAATGTCATTGATTTTCATCAGAGATCCTGATATATCCTGATGACACTGTAGTCTTTGATTCTTTTTCCGCGCTACGCATTGATTTCCCTATTGAATGTTTCAAAGTTTCGTGGGAAATCGGGAAATCATGCCAGGCCATCTATATTGCAGAAAATAAATGATACTTTCAGAAACTTTCAGCAAATAATCCATGGTTCTTGGATGGCGAGCAATAGCAAACTATTTGCCGGGATTTAACTTTGGAACATGTGGTTAAAGTATAACTTAATTGCCTTAAGCTGGTCCTACCGAACACATGCACCAGCACAGAAAAAGCAAGGTCTTGAGCTCGTAGCTACAAATCGTAAGCACTCATGGAAAAGACTACCAAAGGTGGCAGGTTTCGCATAGCCAGCTCGACAGTGCGGCTGCAAATCTTTGCCAGAATCTTGTCTATTTCCACAGCGGTGCTGCGTATGGTGGCCACGTCGCAGATAACAATCAAGTCTGCAAGGTTGGGTTCCGGACAAGCTGCGCTGGAGAAAGGTTGTTTGCCTGAAAACGATTTCAATTGAAACCTCACCGCGACCGTCCCTGCCAGCAAATCGGAGGCTTTAGCAAACTAATTCAGTGGCGTTTCCTTTCGAAAACAAAGACAGGTTGTGAACCCCTTCTCTTAGTCTTGGCCAAGACATGAGCTTCGGGAGATGGCTTCGCCTCAGGCTTCAAAGTGAGAAATTGATCGCCCTTCCATGTGCTTCCTTGCCTCGGCAGCGCAGCGGGCGGCCAGGCGTTCACAGGACCCTGCATCTGCCGCTGCTGGCCTGGATCGTGTTTGCGATGACATGGTGACCTCTTTTATGAGCTGCCTTCTGCGGTTTATGGACGAAAAAAGAGCTGAGACATGTTTTCACTCGCACCACAGGCGCGGAGCTTGAACAAGGACATGGGCTGCTGGCCCACTCAACATGGACAAAGATGAGCCCAATAAGTCAGCCTTACGCAAATACTCACTGCAGGCATCGGCTTCTCTTGTATTCCTTCGTTATGAGTTCATGCCCGTTCGTTCTGGCATTGGATGAGAAAGTCAAGTGCTGCCGCAATAAGTTACAATGTGTTGCAGTGTTGTCGAAGGCCCACATGTCTGCATAGGCAGATTGGACATTGCATCAAGTTGGTTCTGCAGGATTTTCATGCAAGGGTAGCTGCACAGAATCCTGCACAGCTCCTGGAAGAACCGCTCTCGGGCATGCCAAGACATGGGCTGTCTGGATATTGTCCAAAGCCTCAGACCAACTAGCCCAACTTGGAATCCATGACGCTGCTGCAAACGGAAATGGCACACAAACACGCTGGGCGCAGCGCAAGTTTCCAAGCTCCTCAATGTCGCAGGTGTCAGCCTGCTTTGCCAGATCTATGTTCGTTCAGTCCTGTCCTTCCCTAGGCACACAGCTTTCAGCAGCTTCGCGATGCTTCGTGCAAGGCAACGGCATTTTTCCGGGCAAGCTCCGCAAACAGCTCGTACAGCTGGAGCAACACTGGCCCGCTAAGCTTCGACGTCTCGTCGTCTGTATTGCGATTTGAAATCTAAAGGCTGGGAATCTCTGAGTTGATCTTGATTCTTTGCTATCACGTCGCTGAAAATCTTGGAAAGGCGGCCCTGAATTAGAGCGAAGTCTTCCCTGTCCTAGACAGATTTCTGCCTTCCCAAAAACTCATGACGCCACGTACAGAGTATGGACTGAAGCTTCCTTAGATGAAGTCATGCAAGATATGTTTTGCAAGTCTTATGGAACATCTCATCTGGCAGTCGAGGCTCCACCTCCATCCGCAACATTAGGTCCAGCTCCTTGTCATTTTATTACATTATTACGTTGTTTGTAGGCACTTCACGTCCGCTTGAAGGAGCAAGTGGGAGGAGTAGTGCAGAGGAGGCTCCAAGATTGCATCTTGATCTGGATTTTTGCGCGCATTGCTGATGTGAGGAAGCGCGCCCAACACATGCAAGTCACCATAGACAACAGCGCCGGCAGTGACAGAGACGGTCTTCACATGGTTGGACACCAGCGCCTCAAGACCTCACTTCTGCAGGTCTAGCAAGAGACATAACTTGTGGATGCTTCCAGCCCTGTCTCAGCCTGGCACCAGACTTGCCATCAGGAGCTCGGAAAGTAGCCATTGCTATCCGTAAGCGCTGCACCCAGTCATCCCAGCCAGAGAAAACCTGCGGCCACGAGCAATATTCGTTGAATCTGCTACGAGAGCTGCTAAGCTTCAAACCTGTCTCCAGAAGGCTTGGCCCTGGTGAACATCAGCCAGCGAAGCGCGGCGCACACTTCCGCCATGGAAGTGCCGGTCATCACCAAGGCTGTGTAACTGTGCTACAGCAGGTGAAGCTTCGACTTCTGCTGCGGAAGCTCCAGGAGGTGGGAGCAGCGCTGTCCAAATGAGCGGCAAGTAGAAAGCCTTGCCAGGTTAAAGCGAACGAAAACCTGTACAAGTGATGTTGCACCCTGTTTAATGATGGGGGGTCCCCCCCCTTGAACAATTGGTATTCCTCTTTAATACGGCGGCAGCCCCTAAACTTGCCGCGCAAGTAAAATCATATGGGTCCTAGAACCTATCTAAGCAATCTAAGTAACCTT